GTCTCCTTAAAGTTCCACGTGTGGATATTGACGTTGAAGAAGTAGATCCCGGGCACGTAGCAGTAGAACTTGCCTTTGAACATGTTAAAGTGCTCGTAGAGGTTGACAAACACAGTGTCGAACACCAGCGCCTGGTAGTAGTCCAGGCTGTGCAGGGATTTGCGGCGGCCCACAGAGAAAGAAGAGTGGGGGATCTTGCAGGCGTCTCCGGGTGTGCCTGCTTGGCCTTTGCTGCCTTTAGGGCCCATGGGGCCTCGGTAGCCAGGAGAGCCCTCCAGACCTGGTTTTCCGGGTGTACCTTTGTCTCCTTTGTCTCCTTTATCACCTAAAGGGACAAAATGAAATGTGAACAAGGAGGAAGACAGAAAACCCACAAGCGTGACTTGCATGTTTGAATATTTTAACCCTTTAAAGCCTGAGCAATGAAATAATTGCCTGAAAATTCTATATTCTTGAAAATATAGTGTTTAGTAAACCTTCTGATGAAATCTTTCATTTTTAAATTTCATAAATGATTTTATATGAGTAGAAGTCTCAAAAACTCACAGGCTCAACACATGTATCAAATGTGATACACTTGGCTTAACAGGGTTAAAAGTAAAGCTCTTAACAGACATTTTAATAAAGAAGAGGTTAGCTTTTGCAAAGTGAGATGTACTAGTGCTCACATTAATAGCAAAGGCATGTCAAGACCACATTAATTTATTCCCAGCTGGCTGCACCAGATGTTTCTTTCTTCCAAGAACTCAAAGTGATCTTGCCATTTAGCAAAGTGCAGCATTTAGTTGGATTCAAAGATTTTCTCTCAACTCTTCCATTTTCAGGTCTCCGTTTTATTGTGCGCACAGTACCATTAAGCTTGAACTTTTTCATAGTGGCTACAAATCTAGAAGCAGCAACAAATTCCAGTAAACCTTTTATATCTGACATTTCAAATCCTGATTATAAATCTAAAGGAACTCTTTCATGAGACCTTGTGAGGATAGCATGTCTGTAAAAAGCAGTTTGTTTCCAGAATCTACTGCCTCATTAAATTTGAAGTAATCACAGGCCAAAGACCAGAAGGAACTGTAATAATTTCAATTAAACACATTTATTTCTCCCTTTTCTGCTGCTGTTCTAGGCATCTGAAGGTGAACTGCTTTAGCTAGATAAAAGTCTGCTGACACCCTGAGACAGCACACGAGCTCTACTGGAGGAATGAGCATCATTCTTCTAAAACTGACTTGGAGCTTTTGTGATGGCGCACTGTTTCATAAAATCTTCTATAAAAGAACAAATAGGGGTTGGTGCAATCCAAAGGTATCAAAATGGTCATCTAGCCTTGCTTCCTTTAAATTGCCTCCCCTTTGGCCATACAAACTGATTGGTGCATTTAATTCATACACCAATCAGTCATAACGCATAACGCA